GTATAAATGACCGTGATGATGGTTTAAGTACACAACTGAGGTTTAGTGGCAGAAATCCGGTATTTCCAATTACAGTGCAGCTGTGCTTATTGGGGTGACGGAATCAATCTTGTTTTCAGAATATTTGGGAAGCAGGAGTACATGTAGGGTATAACTGCATTTCTCCAGAACTATGTTTTTCACAGAAGAGCTACAGTTCACTCTGCACTCTCCATTCTATGATCAAAAACCATGAAACAGAGAAAAGCATTTCAACCTGAGACTCAGTTACAAGAACTGCACCTGCCCCACCCTCCTGCAACTATATATGCCACCTATCTGTGCTGAACCATGAAGGCCAGAGTGGTTCACGTGCGGCACAGACGGAGCCTGGACCCTCTTGTCCCCACCCTCCCAGACAGGTGCTCTGGGGTCACCTGGAGAAGGGAAGTGCCTGGGCTCTGTCTCCTCCACCAGCAGGGGGCAGCAGAGCTGCAGTCAGAAGAGAGGCTGGGGCTGCCAGGAGGAGCCTATGAGGGAGGCCAGCCTTTGGGGGGTCAAGAGGTGTTCAGGATCAGCCCTCACTTCGGAAGTTTGGTCCAGTCCCTCCTATCACCTGGGACTGCAGTGTTCATGTTCTGAGGGTCAGACTCACACAGCCTCACCCATGACACTAACAGGAGCCCAGGCACAGCGATGGCCTCACCTGGGAAACACAGCTGGAGGTGCCTGGGCCCTGGTGTCAGCCTGGACAGCTCCCACAGGGCTGGGATTCCCTGAGAGACGCCCCGAGGTCAAGGTGCTCTAGACGGGGGAACAGTGTGAGGGGACAGGGCTCCCAGGGCCCAAGTCCTTCACCCAGGATGGCTGCCTGAGCCTCCTGCCATTCTGAGGCTCTCATTCCTCCCTGTCCAGCAGCGTCCTGGGAAGCTGAGCCCTCTATCTTTGGCACTTCCAGAGACACCCTACCTCCCCCTCCCTCTGCCTCTCCTTCCTGCTCCAGGCCGACTCTGACTCGGAGGCAGCTCCTATGCTCAGGGGATTCTCAGGTGGGTGGCATGGAACATTTGGGATCCTGGTCCCTAGATGGGGCATTCCCAGCCTCCTTGCAGAGATGCTCTCCAGAGGGAAAGGAATGCTTACCTGCCTCAGGCCACAGCTCTGACCATGGGATTGTCCTGGCCTCAGTGACAGGATCTGTCTGGCTGGAGGGATCAGGGATCCCCCACCCTCCAGAGCTCATGCGTGTTCAGAGACCATGACCCTGGAACCCTCACAGAGACCAAATAACCTAAAGTTAGTCTGTCAGTCAGGTCTGGGTTTCTGGTGCTTTTTACACATTTATATGAAACACTGATGAGAAAAAATAAAGAATCAAAGAGCAGAGGATGGCAATTTCTAGTCTATTAGAGGGAAGGGGGATGTCATACAACGAGCAGCTCAGGTGGGAAACAAGACTAGACTGTGTAATGAATCCACATGAGTTGTGGCTGCTCAAAGGACCAAACCGTGGTCATGGAAATCATTTACAAGTATCCTAAAGACACAGAACCACATTCTAATTAAGCTACCAGGACACGACCAAGTGAATCTGAGGAGCCCAGAGAGGACTTGGAGGAGGAGGAAGATGATGGGTCCCTGGTCCACCTGCTGCTGAGTCAGGTGTCACTGATGATCTCTCAGCAGGGCCCAGCTCAGCCCCATGGCCAGGCTCCTGGAAGGTCCACAGCCCTGCTGAGCCTGGCCCAGAACAGAGCACAGGCCAGGATGGTACAAAACAGTGGCTGTGTGGACAGGCTGTCTTGGGGTTTTCTAACCCAGGATAAAGCTGGTGAAAGAGGGTCTGAATGAAAGGACACATAAAGCGTATCTTTCATCTAGTGGTAAAGGACGTGAGTTCCGTATGATGAAGCCTGGGTCACTCCTTGGCCCAGATGTCCTAGATTAGTCCTCAGAACTTTCCTAGCACTTCAGTTCCTGAAGCTCCTGGCAGTCTTCTATTCAGAACAGTGTTAACTAGGGTGGACGCTGTGGGGTCCACCTAAATTCCACGTTAAGGTTGACCCACACACTCTCAGAGCCTACCGAGTGGGCACCCGTGCGATGGGGCACATGTCACCTGATAGAGGCTGACTGACAACCCCCGATCTCTTCTTTCTGACCACTTGGGCGTTTGGCACTGTGTCCACCATGGACACTCTATGAGCTATTAACCTATGACTCAAAGTTTCTTCCGTGTGACGCCCATGCCCAAAGACCACCCACAGGCTTCCGCCCATACCCCATTTCCCCCATTTCCACATTTTTCTCTTGCAGTCCCTGGAACACCTGCCCAAGTCATTTCCCACTGCCCTGAGCCCATACATATCTACCCTAGCATCCGGCCACTCACCTTTCCTCACAAAATGAATGACCAGGCACCATACCCTGGTGCATGGATAGATGTCCCTTCTCCATCATCTCTTAATGCCACCCCTTAGTAGACCCATACAGTACAGCTGTATCTACTTCATGGTGATCCAATTCATTCCTGGGCTACTCTGGAAATTTTTGCTCCATCAACTGAGCAGAGAGACTGCTGCCCACAGAACCTAAGTGTAAACCCAGAGAGCGGTGCTAGAGCAAGAGAGATGCAAACGTGGCTGTGGACCATTCACAGGTTACTCAGCCCTGGGGCCCTGCTCCTGCTTCCTCCTAGGTGTGTCACATCTGTCTCACCAGGGATTGTTGCTGGGCCTGCCTGAGCACATGACGGGAGAATCTGGCAGTTCTGGCTTCTTGGTCACTGAATGTTCGATGCTGTCCTGTATCTACCAGGGAACAAGAGCACATGGGGAGAGTTGTTTTCAAAATGAAAATAATTCTCTATTGCAGATCACAGGGAATTGTTCCAAATCCCATCGGTCTACGTTGGGATTTTCCCGTGAGAGATGGTGTAAACATGAGTTTTCAGTTCTTGTCACAAATTCTTCAGTTCTTATCACCAATTCCATGACTACGGTAGAGTCTGCTGGATTCTCTGGTCCCAACAGAAGGACATCCATACCCCTGCCTGAATCTGCTGCAGAGTCTCCCTGATCTGGGCACGAAAACAGTGGATGATGTTCATGCCTCCTGATATATGAGTTGGAGCCACATCCCCAAGGGTTAAATATGCTGCCTCTAGACACCAGAATGACCTTATAGCTTTGTGTTTATTTCTTTCTGGTGGGAACTGTAAGATCTAATAACGTGCCCTTTATTTTGTGAGACATACTAAGCTGCTCCAGAGAACTTAATCCTCAACATTTCAGCTACTACACAGGATGAATGGTCTTACGGTTTGTTTCCCACTCTCAGGAATGCATGGGTCTCACCAAAGCTTCCAACAGACAGGGCCCCTACATGCACATCTGGTCCAAATACAGAATAGAGCCCTAGGACGTTCTCCTGGGTGTTCAGATGGTCAAGGCCCCTATGACAATATCACGAAAAAGAAGGGAGAGTTAATGAAGTTGAAAAAATCAAGTATAAACCTACACCGTTGTCTACTCCATGTAGTCACATGGTTTCTGATTCTATTCTGAGAGGAATAGAATGAGTTTCTGCATGGATGGTGCCTGCTGTGCACCTGCAGTCAAGCATGGTGTTGTGTTCTATCAGGGTCTTCTTCTGGCACAGCAATTTCGAATGGAACTACCAGCTGACTGCGTCTGTAGAAATCCACTTCCATCTTCCAGGATCCATTCAACAACTGCAGGAATCATTTCAGTAAACTGAACACAAGGGCCTCAGCTATAACTACAAGTCCTCCAGGAGAGAAGAACGCTGTCTCAGAGGGTGCAGTCCTACTGGAATTTCTCTTCTCTTTGGGACAAACCAGGCCAGCGGAGGCACAGGGGCTGTGTGTCATCTAGTTTCCTAGATGAGGTGGTCTCCTCGCTGTCCTGAGATTTTGAAGAAACTGGGGAGATTGGTGCAGGCACCCCTTGGGTCCTTACAGGAAACTTCCTCCAGACCACACACTCCTCAATTTGTTCCCAAGCTCCAAACTTTCTAAAGTCACTGTCTAATGGGCCCAGAGTGTTCGTGTGGAGTGGTGGAAAATCTCTGAGGATGGATAGTGGTGGTGGCTGCAAAGCATTCTGAATGGATGTACTGTTGCCAAATGTGCATTTACACATGACTGAAATGGTTTAAAAATTGATCATTTTACCATAATAAAAATACTGCATACTTTGGAGAAAAGTAAACCTAGCTTAATTTTGAAATTATTCAATGAATACCAATAAAATAATAGTGTAGTAAGCACCATTTCCCCTTTTGCTATAGCAGCAACTGATCCCCTTGTGCTCTTTTGACCTCTCTCCCCCACTCTCTCTCAATAATGAGCAATGATCTTCTCTCCAGTCCTAGCTCACACTTCCCCAGTTGTGCAGGAATGCCTGTTGCAGCTGTTCATTTATTTCCAGGCAGAGTCCTCAAGATTCCTCTGCTCACGTTTTGTTCTCAGCTGTCTGGAGCCAGCACGACAAGTGAGCCAGAATCATTTGTCATGAGAGACTTGTGGAAAGTTTTGCAAAAAGTTCCCCAAGAAAAAACAATGCTCATTGTTGGCAGCAGGACCATTTCCACATAGTAGGACTGTGCTAGGTGTGCAGCGGGGCTGTGCACACTGTGCCCACAGGCCAGGCTCTCTGTGCTGCTGACTCTGATCCTGTGTTTGGCAGGGCCTTGTCCGCTGCTGAGTCCACTGCAGACTCGACCCTCAATGGGAAGGTGGTTCCTAGCTGCTGGACACTGAGTCTCAGACAGGGACAGACGGTATTGAGGATGCCCAGCCCCTGATGTGCATAAGGGAACAAAGCCTGCTGATGGAGCAGAAGATGAAGGAAGCTGTGGCTCTAAAGGTGGGGTTTCCAGCTCTCAGTTTCAGCAGCCCATGGCCTCCTCATCTGTGTGCGCCTTGTCAATCTGGACAATGTGAATTAGAGGTGAAGGGGATTGAAGGATTTTCCCATTTTCTCTCCTGGTTACAGAATGCAGCCTTCCACATATACTCTATCAGAGCTTGTGCTCTACAAACACACCTGATACTAAATTAGTGACTTCTGATAGTGCAGATGGGGACAGCCACCAGTCCCTCTGGAGACATTTCCCATAACATGAACCAGTGAACCCATCTCTGAAAGCCCTCATATTTTAAAAAATAAAATTTTTGAATTTCAAGGAAAACTAAACCTTTGAAAAAAACACGATTCAAAAGAGAACCATGCCACTTTCCATTTCTGCTTGGGCTGCAGTGAGGACAGATGTAGAAAGTGCTTCTGACGTCTGTGTCTGTTCCCCTGTGTGGACGCACATATTCAGGAGAGTTTAAACGAGGTAGGTGACTTCGGCAGCGTTGGCCGGGCTCTGGTTTGCTTCTGGTGCTAACAGAACATAGAAGAGAGGACAGGGTAGCGTGTCCCGAAGATCAGAGATTTTCTTTTTGCAGGAAGTGCCTGGGCTCCTGGAGTGTTCTCAGGGCTTTGATCCAGGCCACTGGCTCCACAATCAACATCACTGATATTTCAGCAGGTCACTGACCTAATTCCATTTTAGCGCTATCTCAAATGGAAACATTATTTTCTTACAACTATTCATACAGCAACATAGCACATAAATATCTAAATAACACATGCAGAAACAGTAGTCTCAAATGCAAAGCTGTCACCTCCCCACACCACACACTTTCTCACCTGAGCCCCTGAGCCCACTCTTCCCTCCTCTCACCCTTGCCTAGGGCTCCCTTTTCCTGTGCCATTACAAATGTCTTCTAACAGGGACAGTGACACAAGACAGTCCCCCCACCTCCTCCAAGCACTCACACCACAGAACCCCCAGTCCATCTCCTGAGGGGACGTTTACATTTCTATTCTGACAGAGAGAAGTCACTGTGATTGGAGTCTTTACCCCAAACCCAGGAGTTTCTGAAGAACACATGGGGTCAGCCACTCTCTTGTGTCGGGAGGCTTCACCTCAGGGAGGCGCCCGGCTCTGGGCTGAGGCGGACTCAATGTGAACTAAAAGGCAGGACTAAGGAAAGTCCTGGGTCACACTGTGAGCGACGCACGCGCCCTCAGAAGGGGTCCCTGGTGCTAACCCTGACCCAATTCTAACCCCGGGCACCTTTCCTCAGCTCCTCTGGCCCTGGGACACCTCCCTAACCTGCTTCCCATGAGGCTGGTCACAGCTGTTGTGAGCACTGCCTTCTCCATGTCACACTTTTTCTGTCAACATTTTGAGGAGCCAGTGGTTTTCTCCTCATCCCATGTTCCTGTCCCACCCGCCTGCTGGGGGTGGATTTATTTCATGTGTGAGGTTTCCTCAGCCCTGAGCCACAGCTGCCTCATGGACACCAACCCTGTGGGACGCTCCTCTGGGAAAAGCAAACAGGAACCAAGAGGAGCATCTGGAGCCCTGGTGTGGGAGACACACTCCATCTTGGGGGAGGGAGCGTGGAGGGGATGAGAAGGGACCAGGGGCCTAGGATTGAGCTGGGAAGGGAACCAAAAGGCAGAAAGGGCAGAGCAGGGGCTGTCAGCTGTGACTCAGGGAAGGATCCTGGGCCTCGGGCTCCTCCTTCTGAGGCCACCAGGGGACAGCGCAGGCCTGGACCTGGGAGGTCCCTGCTGGGCTTCACGTGGGGTGACTCCTAGGAGCTCCTTCTTCCTAAGTCCCCCTAAAGAGACAGAAGCAGTCTGGGGTCCTAAATCTGTCGTGCCCCCATAAATGCATTTCTAGAAGGGCCAATAAATGAACCCCAGGTTTATCCAAACAGCAGCTTCAGGCCCCTGCAGACACAGAGGGCAGAGCAAGGTGTGAGGAACTAGCCGACCTGAGGAGCCCTAGAAGGGCTGAGGGGGACTGAGGGGTCCCTGGGAAGGGGAACGCTGGGGTGTCTCCAAGCCACTCTGGGCCCTGCCCTCACACTGGCCCCACAAAGAAGGGAAGGGAAATCCTGGGACCCCACAGCCGTCCTGGACCACCATGAACCGCAGCACAGGAAGGACAAGGACCCCAAGGCTGGCTCCATTTCCCGGGGACTGTCATGGGCTCAGTCTCAGGAAATCCAAGTCAAGGAGTTTCAATCCCCCCAGATGAGCCCTGCTGTCCAGGGAAGCAGAAATCTCTGAGCCCAGGCCCAGGTGAGGGTGGGGCGAGGACAGGAGCTCAGGACATAGATTTGCATGGAGGCCCCGCCCTCCTCTGAGGCAGTGGGGGTAAGACAGGGCTGGGGCCAGGTCCAGGGCTGGGGTCTCGGCAGCGCTCTCTGGACGTCTCCACCATGGCCTGGGCTCTGCTCCTCCTCACCCTCCTCACTCAGGGCACAGGTGACACCTCCAGGGAAGGGGCAGACCTCTGATCCTTGGTCTCCTGCTCCTCAAGCTCACCTGGACCCAGCACTGACTCACCAGAGTGTGTTTCTCCCTTTCCAGGGTCCTGGGCTCAGTCTGCCCCGATTCAGTCTCCCTCTGTGTCTGGGTCTCTTGGACAGTCGGTCACCATCTCCTGCACTGGAACCAGCAGTGACATTGGGCGTTATAACTATGTCTCCTGGTACCAACAGCAGCCAGGCACGACCACCAAACTCATGATGTACAATGTCAATATGTGGCCCTCAGGGGTCTCTGATCGCTTCTCTGGCTCCAAGTCTGGCAACACGGCCTCCCTGACCATCTCTGGACTCCAGGCTGAGGACGAGGCTGATTATTACTGTAGCTCATATGAGGCCAGCGACACTTTCCACAGTGGTCCAAGTTCACAGGGAACTGAGACCAAAACCTGCCCTGGGCTCTCAGACTTCCTCCTTTCTCTGAAGATGCTTCTTCACCCTGTGCAAGGGGCTCCCTGCAACACGTCCTTGAGAATTCTTCTCTCTCAGCTCCTCTCCTTTCCCACTACGAAATCCAAAAGGAAACCTGCTCTGTGGTTTCTCATCCAGGACAGGGACAGCTTCCTTTTGCTTTAGTATTGTTGTCCCTGAATGTGCAACTATTCCTAGCTTTTTAAATTCAGGGAGAGTGACAATGAGTTTCCTGATTGGTGCAGTCCCTGCTGTTCTGAGGAACATCCTCATCCTAAATGTACTGGAATCTCCCACTGTGTGCAGACCAATCTGGACAGACACTATTAGGGGTAGTTTCCAGAAATCACATCTTACTCGACATTGTATCCACCACACTCTGGTGAAGATGGCCCTCCTGGCTGGGTTAATCCCCTGCACCTCTGTCCCCAAGCAGTGAGCACTGTGAGGAAGATCTGAAGATGTTTCTGAGTAATTAAGAAGAAAGAGGAATCCACTTTTTTGTTTGTTTTTACTGCCCTTTCACTTTGCTCCAATACCCCAGGTTGCTGAGCTGGGAAGATTTTGAGTGATAAAATCAGTGTTCTCTCAGAATCCTCTTCCCCTCACATCAATAAGCCCCCGTCCTGGCAATGTCCCACAAGCCCCTTCAGGTAACAGGGATTGTGGAGTGACATGTTGCAGGAAGCCCCACCTCCACCTGTAGAATGAGAGTTTCCAAAATGGTTACACAGGGAAGGGTTAACCTGAATCCATCCCCCTTCCTCATTTACATCAAGCATTTCTAGTTTCCATGGAGGTCAATACTTTTGTAGTTCAAATCCCTATTAATTTACTAATAGTGATAATTAATTTAGGAACTAGACAAGAGCTGGGTTCAAAATTTATATTTAATAAATATAGCTATTATTATATACAGCTTAGACTTCTTAAACTTCAATTAAACACATTATATTAAAAACCAACTATTTTACTATATGTGTATCCCAAAACATCATGTTGTCTACCTGAAATAAACACATTAAAATTTATTTCAAAAACCAAATTGTATTTATTGTCTGTTGATGCATAAAAATTACTCGTGAAACTTAGCATATTAAAAGAACACATGTCTGTGATCTTGTGACTTCAGTCCATCTAGAATTGGGCGCAGCTTGGTTTGGTGGTTTTGGCTCCCAGCTGATCATGAAGTTGCAGCCAAGCTGTGAGGCTATGAGGCTGTGAGGTTGGGCTGCATTCAGAGGCCAGAGCAGATGGCCAGGCCCAACCTGAGGAAGGCTGCCAGATGTAGACCTGTTCTGTTTGGCAGATGTAGATCAGCTCAGGGTAAAAGGAGAGAGTGAAGTGAAGGCCCCTGCCCTGGTCCTCCATATCAAAGACCATTCTACGCATGCACCATTTCTCATTCTTTATACTGTGACATCCTAGGCATAGAGCACTGCCCTGTCCATTCTAAGGCTGCAGAGTATTCCATGGTAGAATTTGAGCCTTGGAGCCTTTAATGGTAATCAACATGAATTTGATCTCACAAATAACATTGCAGTGAATAGCCCTATGCAGGCTCATTTGGGTTCTTGTGTGAATACGACCATAGGATACATTTCTGGAAGTGGAATTTCTGGGTTAAAAGGATGTGTGTTTATAATTTTCACCTGTTGTTCTCAGATTCCCCTCCAGACAGTCTCTACTAGTTTACAACGCTAGCCACAAATATTTAATCAGAGTACACTGATGAAAGTTTACATTGTTCCCAATCTATCAGATTTTAAAAGGTTACCTTGTTTCAGTTTGATGTTTGATTTCTCCTATTCTGCTTTAGGTTCCGCATTTACTTAAATATTTCAGTGTTCACTATTGTTTAAGATTTGGTAAACTTTTTCTTAAATGTCCAAATAAGACCTATTTTAGCCTTTGCTACACAGAAGTCAACTTCGAGAATATTATGTTGGTACTTATAGCACCATTTACTGTGTAACCATTTAAAACTATGAAAACCCCTCTCAGCTCTGGAGCCACACAAAAACAGGGGCTAGGATGGCCCAAAAGATGTGCTTTAATGGTCTCTGGTTTGTAGGGTTATTGCAAGTTTGAAAATTCCACCAGCATAGGTTCTAGGTGGAGATCTCTTTGTGAGGGTCACTGTATTTCACCTCCTATTGTGGCCTGAGGTCTTTCTTTGGATAAGAACATATTTATATTACTCATTTGACTGAATCTTTGGTCTTCCCAGAACAGTCCTGTGCCAGAGTCTCATAATGTTTATCTTGATCCATTTTTCTAAGTCATGGAGAAGAGCTTTAGTGTATCAAGAATAGACTCCCCCTAGGTTGAAAATTAGCGGGACAAGGAGGGCCAAAGCGGCAATGAAGCTTGCAACAAGTCAGGAATAGTCCAGAGTAGGCTCATAGAAAAAAGTCTTAAAATCAACACTGTAGATGAAACCATAAACATACAAGATTGTTGTAGTTCTTGTGATTACAAATAAATGAATAATGAAGTGTATGTTTTAAATGTATTGAACATTTATATAAAGCATGAGGACTGTAAACCCCAGAATGTAACAATGGAATAAAGAAGAGAGCTTGATACTTTAAGCTTTAAAGGCCCAAAACAAGTTGTTAGGAAAAGAACAGGACTTTGATAATGGAAATGTGTTAATGCTGCAAATTATCATCTTCTGCAAAAGCAGAGATTATATTTTCTTAGGTATAAGGAAACATCTTATGGAACATCCTTCTTTCCCACTGTCAAGAATACGTTCACGCCATGAAAAAACTGTTAACATTAACTAGGAAACAATTGCACTTTGTATTAATAAATAACATTGAGAGGTTTCCTTATTAGCACACCAAAATGTTGATGCTCAATACTAAAATTAGACTTCATAGTTTAATGCATACAACACAGTGATTTTCTTTGGACTATACCATTTTTGTTTCTGATTTATCTTAAGTCAAGTCAGACATATTCCATCCTGAAAAAAAATTCAACATTTGATACTTTTTGTTTTATTTTCTGTGTTTTCTTCCAAACACTACCAGAGATATCCCATGGCTGCTGATTATTAAATGTGATTTTATGGGCATTTCAATCATTACTTTAAATTATTACAAGAATGCACAGTTGAGATTTCCCCCACATCTAATTCACAAATATTGTTGATGCTGACTCACTCATCTCCTTCAATCTTAGCAAATGAAGTGGAGGTTTACTTTTCTGAACACTCAGATGATAACAGGAGACAGGAGGTGAAAATCCCCAAAGCTGCTGTCCTTCAACCCTCAGGATGAATAGCACCTGGAGTCTCACCCACACGTGATTTGCATCATACATAAATGAGATCTGGGTCTGAAAAGAGTTGATGCAGAGTTCTTTAAGGATTTGAGCTGTTGGATGAATGTATTTTGAATTTCAGCTCTTGGATGACTATATTTCACAAGCGAGAGAGACAAGTTCTGGAGTCCATAGGGTGCAGCACTATTGGCTGAACTGTGTCCCCTAAAAATTCAGACAATAAAGCTCTAATGCACAGTTATGTGACTGAAATTGCACACAGGGTCTTTAAAGAGATGATCAAGTAAAAATGAGGTCATTACAGTGGGTCTTTATCCAATCTGCCTGATGTCTTCCTGGGAAAAGACATTTTATGTACTCAGAAATGAGACACCAGAGATGAGCGTGCAGAGGAAAGACCGTGTGAGGACACTGCAAGGAGGCAGCCACCTGCAAGCCAAGGAGAGAGGCCTCAGAGGAAACCAAACCTATAAACACCTTTATCTTGGAGTTTCCAGCTTTCAAACTGTGAGAAAATGAGTTTCTGCTGGTTGGGCCACTAGTTCTTTGGTACCTTGCTATGGCAGCTCTAGCAAATGAAAACGAGAGAGACCTTGGAGGTCAAGTATGAGGGGGAGGAGGAGATGGAGCAGGGTGCAGGATGCAGGGCAGGGAGGGACTGGAAGGTCGGGCCCTGAGGTGCGTCTGCTGGGTGAAGTTGGGACTCCAGTCACTACTATCCGGGGGACTTGGGGAAGTAGTTGACCTCTCCATATTGATTCCCTAGTAAAGATCGGGCTGTGAGCCTAGGACTCCTAATCTTCCTATATTCCTATTTTATAATTCATATTATAAAAGTCTTCTTGAAGTCACACTTCTAAAATACTCACCAATGCATCTGGCATATATTGAGGGCTCATAAGCAGTCAAGCTGCATAAACTACTCCAACATGGAGGATGGCATTTTTCTTGGAGGAGCAGGGGTTACTGTGAGCCTTGGTTTGGGGACCCTACTGATTCCAAGTCCCCTGCTAGTGTTTAAGTACAACAGGCATGAATGATGCTTCTTTGGTGCCCATTCTATTGGGTAAAGTCCACTCTCTATTCATGACAGCCATGTGCCCCATCTTCTGAACTTGGGAAATTGCCACACCAAACCCTCAGGCTCAGGGCCCACACAGAAGCTCAGAAAGACACACTGGGAAATGGAGAAGAGATTTGCATCCATCCCTTAGTGGAGAGACACCTAACTAGACAATAAGATAAGGAAGTAGGTTTGTATAATGAGTCACCCCTTCTTATGATATGAGAGACCTGGAGACTCCCTTCTCAGGTGTGCGCTCAGAGGTAGAACTCTGAGGCATCTCCACCATGGCTTGGATCCCATTTCCTGCTCCCCTTCTCACTCTCTGCACAGGTGCTGCTTCCCAGGGTTCAACCCCCACAGGACCAGGGAACAGCCTGGCCCTGACTTTCAGCTCATCACAGACAGTGATGCAGGGTGTGGCACTCTGAGAATGAGACCCTCATCTTCAGACTCATCTCTCCTGTCCTTGCTTCCAGGTTTTGTGGCCTTCTCTGAACTGACTCAGCTGCCTGAAGTGTCTGCAGCTTTGGGACAGACGGCCAGGATCACCTGCCATGGAGAGGACTTAGAAAGCTATTATGCACACTGATACCAACAGAAGTCAGTCCAAACCCCTAAGCTCATTGTATATAATGATAGAAAGCTGCACTCAGAGATCGCTGAGCGATTCTCTGGTTCCTGATCAGGGGAACAGTCATACTGACTATTACTGGGGTTCAGGTTGAAGACTATTATCGTTTTTCTGGAGATAAAAACACATTCATAGTGACACAGATAGATAGGGAAGTGAGACACAAACCCCATCACCATCTGTGTCACTCTCTTAAGCCCCAGGAGGACTGTGAACAAAGTCATGAGCAGGGTTAGCCCAGCTCAACTGGATCTGTGACCCCCAGGCACCTTTCCCTCTAGTCATCCAGGCAGGCTCTGCAGGGGGGGCGGTTAGGAGAAAATTTGGGGATGACAAGACTAAGCTCTCCTGAGGTTGCTTAGCTGGATATGCATTGG